GGAAGCGGAGGGATGCGATTGTCTCCAGGTATATATAGTTGATTTCATGCCTTTCTGGCCCTCCCAAAAATTCGAATTTTTCACAAATTTGTCGAAATTCCGTATTTGTTATGTAAAAAATACGTTAAAAAAAATTAGCTTGAAAAAGTGAACAAAAGACTGTTTGTAAATCAGCTCACGATGTAAGGAAGTGGACGTGAAAATCAACGCATCGAAAATGAAGGCAGTGCAGAATCACTGAAGCCTCCGGCGAACTTACAGATAGACACTGCTGACTCGGAAGAAGTTGACAGTTACGTTTATCTTGACAAGAAAGTAAATGTGCGCAGCAAAGTAAATATGTGTTCACTCCTTTGTATGTGCAAAAATAGAATACCCCGACTGATCAAAACTTTCACATGATCGTGCATGTGACTAGGCATAAGTGGGAACTGAATCTACAATTTCCGGAGTCGTACACGAACAAGAAAAATTCTCCTGAAATTTCAGCTTTCTAGCTTTTCTGGCTCCTAAGTTAGCAACTTATTAGAAAAAAACTTCAGGGAAGACCGGGGGAGGGGCTAATATTGTCGCGGGAAATGATGATGAGCCTAATCCATTCTCTGCAAGCTGCGAAACCAAGGCTGGCTAAAGGGGAGGCTTGTATGCCAATGCGCTACCGAGTTATTCGGTAGTAACGTTGGTACCCGTTGCCTCGGTTGTTCAGTGCAAGATGAAAAAAAGGCTCTGATCCCGATAAAATCTATCTACCTTCTCAATTTGTGAAGGATTTGGTAAAAGTGAGTTAAAAACATGGTGTTGAATTTGGTTTTCCATCAAAGTTTTAACGTTCTAGGGTTTTTTCCTCATTTTTGAAGGAGCAAAAGTTTGGTTTTAACTAATGTTGGGTCAGCTTCGCCTGGTGAGTCATTTTCTGACGATCCTGACGTCCCTTTCGTTTTTTGAAGGAATTTTTTACCTCAACAACTCTCCTGACAGAATTCCTTTGACAAGCAGATTGTAGCAATCAGGTTGACCCTGTAATCCTGAATGGCGAAGGAGCGATAGGTTACAGTGTGAGAAAAGAAGGTAAGAACGAGATAGGACGTTTCGGTCCATTAAGTCATATACGTCTTAACACCGCGCGACAGGATCTTGTCAGTATGACGGTCGCAGTGCTTGAAGTAGAAAGGAAAGATGAAGACAACAGAAAAAAGATAAATATTTTTTCAGGGTTTTCAACTAACCCATTCACTTGGTGGTGGCACTGGCTCAGGAATGGGAACACTGCTGATCTCGAAAATCCGCGAGGAATATCCGGATCGAATAATGAGCTCATTTTCGGTTGTACCATCGCCGAAGGTACACAGTTGTTGACTGTTTCATGATACGGCGATTCTTGTGTTTGCCTTCCATAATACAATGATTTTTTTGGCATCAGCTTTTTCAGCGATTCGTAAAAACCCCACAAGTGCGTTTTGGTAAATCCGAAAAAAACCTTAAATTAGAGGGATTTTGGAGAAATAATTTGGAATTATCTTCCTAACCTTCCTATATCTTTGTTAATGGCCTCGATTCCTGACCCGTTTTCAGAAGGCTGGACAAGCCAGAAGCTCGGGATTTTAGGCAATAGCAAACAAGAATTTACATGTTGTCCGTTGGTGCATTAATATTTTGCGACCTTTACTTTTTTGTTATGCCCCCTCCCCTCCCCCGCCCCCATCAATAAGTCATTTCATTGGGATTTTTTGAAGGTTAGTGCTTGGGCGGGGATGAAAAAAATGAACTTACAGATGAATTTCTGCAATTTCTTGTTTAAACAGCTTTTCTGATACCATAATATTACCCAAGGGCGAGAAAATTGTGTGTAAAAGGCTGAAAATTTTTCTTAAAAAAAAGCAAAATTTCTATTTTTCAGGTGTCGGATGTTGTGCTGGAGCCATATAATGCAACATTGTCTGTACATCAGTTGGTCGAGAATACTGATGAAACGTTTTGCATCGATAACGAAGCTCTCTATGATATTTGCTTCAGAACGTTGAAGCTAACAAATCCCACCTATGGCGATCTCAACCATTTAGGTGATAACCTTGCTGCAGAGTTGTGACAAAATCTGAAAATGCCCTTAAGGACCGAACATGTTTGACAACATGAAATACGGGATTCCGGCTCAAAACATCAGGGCGGGAAACGATTTCGTGAACCAGACAAGATAGAAAGCTGAGACTTTGCAGGGATATTCTCTGTGCATGTGCGAGCTAAAGATTTCAAATTCAGCCACCGTGCATGTCCAAATCACGTGTACGACTTAGTCAGAGTTTTAGGCTTGTACAATTGTACATTTCAAATTCACTGAACATCTAAGCTATCATTTCTGGGATGATAAAGTGAGGCATCTCTCCCCCTTCCTCCTCGTTTTTTTGATACCTCCATTGAAGAAGGGAAAAAAAAGACAGTTGTTCCATTCCCCAGCTGCAGTTTTTGTGACACAGAAGTCTATAGATGTAATTTTTTTACAGTTTTAGAAATAATTTAAGTTTTTTTTCAGTGTCTGTAACAATGTCTGGTGTGACAACATGCTTGCGCTTCCCGGGACAGCTGAATGCTGACCTACGTAAATTGGCCGTGAATATGGTACCATTCCCACGTTTGCATTTCTTCATGCCCGGATTTGCTCCTCTCTCGGCTCGTGGTACTGCTGCCTATCGTGCCCTCAACGTTGCCGAACTTACTCAACAGGTAATTTTCTGTAAAGAAAAAGCATTTTTTTCCAAATTTTCGTTTTTTTTTCAATTTTAGTTTTTCCAATGGCTGCAAAATTTTACAGATGTTCGATGCGAAAAATATGATGGCAGCTTGTGATCCTCGCCATGGACGTTATCTCACCGTAGCAGCAATGTTTCGTGGTCGTATGTCTATGCGTGTAAGTTCATTTCCCGCATTTTTTTTTAGCTTTGGTAGGGAAAAAAGGCTTGACAAGGAATTATGCGAACTTATGACAAGATTCTGTGTAATATTTAATGGACGACCAGTTTCCTCTCCCCCTCCGTCCCTATTCTCGCAGCTACCAGCGAAGAGCCAACGAAAATTGGGAAAAACGTGAGTTGCATAACATAGTAGCGACAAGTAGTATTAACACAGAGAATATATGCAAGTGGTATACACATACAGATATAAATGCTCCAATTGCTGTGTGGGACACGTGAGGCGATAGAATACGTTGTAAGAAATGTGTTAATTGGTTTGAAAAGATGGGCAAAAGGCTGCTTGTAACTCAGCTCACGAAGTAAGGAAGTGAACGTGAAAATCAATGCATCGAAAATGAAGGCACTGCAGAGTCACTGGCGCCTCTGGCGAGTTTACACATAGACATTGTTGACTTGGAAGAAGTTGACAGTTACGTTTATCTTGACAAGAAAGTAAATATGCGCCACAGCCTCTCGGCAAAGTTTACTCCTCATGGAGGACCCGGTGGGGGTAATTTTGCGACGGGAAATGATGATGAGCCTAATCCATTCTCTGCAAGCTGCTAACCAAGGCTGGCTAATGGGGAGGCTTGTATGCCAATGTGCTACCGAGTTATTCGGTAGTAACGTTGGTACCCGTTGCCTCGGTTGATCAGTGCAAGATGAAAAAAAGGCTCTGATCCCGATAGTCTATCTGTTTTCTCAGTCTGTGAAGAGTTTGGTAAAAGTATGAGAAAGCAAGGTGTTGAATGGTAGAGGGATTGAAAGGGCCTGGAGTGATGATTTAGGTCTCTTTACTGGAAACGAACTGAAATATTGCTTGGAAATAGGAACTGGAAAAGGGGTCGGTGTTATGGAAAAGCCGGGGCGAGGGACGAGAGCTTAGAAGAGGTGTATGAGTTTTCTATGCCAAGTATGAAACCTGGTGCTGAGAAAATGAGTTAATAGGATCAAATATGATGCCTAAAACCCCATATAGGCAAACCCCCCCCCCCCCCCCCCCCCCCCCCCCCCCCCCCCCCGCC